CCATACAACATTTTTACAACCGGGACTACTTATGTATATCGAACCCATATTTATTTGAAATAAATTTCACGCTTTATTATTTTGTACCAGAAACAAATAAAGCTATGCTACCTACCTACTCTTTGCCACGGTACTATTATAATACAGTACTCCAACTTCATACAAACGGACGAAACGCGAGCTATACCTACGCGCCTCGATCTCGGGGTGCGCTCGGGGCGCAGACAGTCACGGCTGTACCGCAGTGTCGAACGGACTGTGTGTTGTTTTTTTAACAATAACCGCGCGATTTTTTTTTCTAAAAATCAGTTAATATGACGAGTAGGAAATATTGTGCTGTTTTTGGTTGTATGAATTCGTCAATAACGCATCCAGACATAAGTTTTTTTAAATTACCTGGAAACTCTGAAAGGTAAGACTATACAATAATTTTACTTACTAGTAGGTAGGTACATAATGTGTGTCTTTTTGATGGATAAGTATTTCCTTTTATCTCACGAAAAAAAAAGGTGTTTGGATTAATAAATAAAGCAAATAGAGTAACGGATAGTTAATGAGACGAGTGAAATAGGTAGTTATATGCGGTTCTGAATGAATCATGATGCGGTAGGTACCTACCTACTTACGCTTGTGTTAAAACTTCGGTGCATGTGTGTTTTCTTACTTTGCATAATTCAAAGTAAAGACGTGGTATTTTATTATTAATAATATTTGTTTATTATCTGTGTGTATGAATAATACTAGAAAAAATTTTTTACCGTCTGTGTGTCATTAGATGGTTTTCGAAATTTTCACAAAGTGTTTCTGCTGCTACTATAACAACATATACCACTAAAAACTGGTTTTATTTTCTCGGTATTAACAACAACAGCTAGACTCATATATAATATTTAGATGTTTGAGGGTTGTGATTTTAAAACATTCGTAGTCAGCTGTTCAGCTTTTTAATAATTAATTAATTGGTGACCAAAAGAATATTTTTTTTGAGTTGATGCGAGTTGTAGGTAGGTACCTAATTTATAGAGACGTTAATAAGCTGAGATAAAAAGTTACTTACTCGTCAGCTGTTTCTTGCATTCTAGTTGAGTAGGTAGGTGTTGAAGTTTTTAAGGATTGGAGTTTTGTAACGCGTAAGGAGAAAGCACATTTTTTTTATTCTATAGAAGGATTTTTAAGCTATTGCATAGCTTTTATCGCGGGCTCTAAGCGCGGCGCGGCTCGGTGACCGAATTAAGAAATTATCAAAACCTAACGAAAAATACCTGACACCACGCAGATTTTTTTCTTTTAAAGAAAAAAAAATGTTATGCAATAGCTTTACCGCGGCAGTCTCCGAGAGTGCCACATGTATTTTTTTTTTCAGACGTCTTCAATGGTTGCAACTGATCCGGCGAGATGATTTGAAAAACAAACCTAACTTTAGTTCCTACCAAGTTTGTGAAAAACATTTTAATTTGGAGGATGTGTTACATTCTTCAAATAGAAAACTTAAAAAAGAATGGCCTACCTTTGTTGATGCTGCCAAGCTTAGCTAGTACTGATCCAGGAGTCTCTCTAAAAGAAGATAAGCAAACCCAAACTGCTCCGTTGGTAGGAAATGAAAATAGTACACAGACTGAAAATGCAACAAACGGAATCTTTGCTCAAACCTCAACGAGTCTCTCTAGCAACACTCCAAGGAAAAGAAAATTGAAACTTGAACTCCTCCAATGCAGAAAGAAAATAAAATTACACGAAACTGAAAATGAAACACAAAAAGCTGAAGAAAATACTTTCCATCGACTTTGCGATAAATTTTTGACCGACAAACTAGCTCTCCTGATAAAAGCCCAAAGTAAACTAAAACAACATGGAAAAGGAAATCGATATGATAAAGACTACATCATTTACTGTTTAAATTTATACTACATCAGCCCACAAGCATACCGGTTTTTGCAAAGTGCGTTATGTTTACCCTGTCCTTCAACATTGTTCAATCATTCTTTCCCAATTACAACGGAAATCAATGAAAAGCTATGTCTCTTCTTAAATTAAAAGTTGGACAAATGACAGAAACAGAAAAAAATTGTTCAGTTATGATTGATGCTATGTCATTAAAAGCAAATCTGTTCTTTAATATTAAAGAAGACAAAATTACCGGATTCCACGAAATTGAAGGATTGCAGTCTCCTGAACCCGCTAAAAATGCGTTAGTAATAATGGTTCATGGTATGTTTGTAAACTGGAAACAGCCTATATCATATGCATTTATTTCAGAATGTCGAAACTATGAAGAAATAAATAAATGGATTGATAAAGTACTGCAAAAGTTATTCGAAATTGGTCTTAACGTCCGTATTTTTGTGTCCGATCAAGGGTCTGATTTATGGAAAGCTGCCAAACAAAGATCAGTTTCAATTAAAAGACCATATTTTTTTATAAATGATAGAAAAATTTATTATATTTTTGATGCACCGCATCTAATTAAAAACGTTCGAAATAACCTGATGCAATATGATTTCCACTTCGGTGATTCTATAGCAAAATATGATCACATTGTCAAGTTTTATAATCAGGACATAAAAAAGAGTTTGAGGCTTGCACCTAAACTTAACGACAGTCATATCAAACCCACAAACTTCGAGAAAATGAAGGTTTGCTATGCGACACAACTTCTTAGCAAGTCCGTTGCAAATGGCATTCGTACGTATATAGATAACAATGAAATTGAAGAATCCGGCAGAGACACGGCAAAATTTTTAATGATGATGAATAATTTGTTCGATTCTTTGAATAGATCTAATCTGAGGAATAGTTATGAATATAAAAGAGCGTATGAAGGCAATGAGTCACAAAAGGCATTTTTTAAACAGATGCTAAGCTTTTCCAAAGATTTAAAATTAAAGAATCCAAAAAATGGCAATAACGTCACATCAAGTGTTAGATTCATTGATGGTTTCCAAATAACTATTACATCCATAATGCTCTTGTTCGATGACTTGCGGATGGAAGGATTTAATTTTCTTATGACTAGAAGATGCAATCAAGACGCTCTTGAAAATTTTTTCGGACAAATTCGAACGAAAAATGGCACGGCTCTAAATCCGACTTGTAGACAGTTTGCATTGGCGTTTAAAAACTTATTTTTCTGCAACATCATAAAACCTCCAAAAGGCGGGAATTGTGCAGATGATTTCGGAACTCTTCTTGTTGAATCGACGAACAAAAAAGATACTAGCGATGCATTACTGGTATCATCCAACGAAATATCAAATACAGATTTTGAAGAATTTTCCAGCATCCAAATTACTAGTTCGGATTACAATCAGCTAGATATACCAGAAAAAAATTCACTTTTTTATATTTGTGGGTATCTTCTTAAGCGTTGTTTGGAGAAACATGATGATTGTCATGCTTTGAAATCGTATGTGAAACCCGATCAAAAAAGCCACAATTTCAGCTCGAGTCGGTATTTAAGGTACCGGGACTACGGTAAGATTAATTCGCGAACTTGTTTGATTGTACCCAACGATGATTTTGTGGAATATATAGAAAAAATGGAGGAAATATTCCGAAATTCACTTAAAACCAAACATGTAAATTGTAAAGTAGCTGCAGGTATCTATAACCAAGTAAAAGATATTCCATTTTCTCCACCTTGTCCATGTTTCCCAAAACAATTTTTAATTAAGCTTTATATAAGAATACGGATTTATTATACTTTAAAATTTAACAATAAAGCATTTCGTACGACTCAGTCGAGGCGCAAATATTTTTCGGTCTCAAATTTATAAGACCGATTTATTTTTCAAACAAAAACATGTTTTTTTAATTAAATTTACCAATCAAAAAACAACACGCATTTTTATTGAACACTTCCTATTCAATATACAAAGTATTTCATTTATTTATATAAAAAGGATATTTACAATCACAAATCTAAATAGAAACAGAAAGTAGGAAAATATAATTAAAATGCTGGAGACGGGCAGCCCTAACGCATGTTTACGTACCGCGCGGCTGTAGGCATTTATTTCTATCATGCGGCCGAGTTACAGTACTGTATTATAATTGTACCGTGTCTTTGCTATTCGTACTATCAATATTCGAACTACATAACTACTTCGTGTTTGGTTTTGTTTGTAATAAGAATTATATTTATTTTTATTATGTTAGGAACAATAATAATCAAGTGATGGGAATTGCCAATTACCAAACATCGCCATCGTCAACATATGTTAGTACTACAAGAAATACTAGTATACTGTCTAACATCATGAATTTTTTAGAATTTTGTAATTTTTATCAACTGAACTATCAAAAATTTCTTTTTTAGAGTTTAATATTTATAATCGGATCACACTATTGAAAACGCTCTTAACGTCTTAAAGCTCCCTTAATGTTTTCAAAAGACTTATCCAACAAGCACATGATAACTTTGTTACCAATAGATAACTAACCAATATATAATGTTGTTAAACGTTTATAAAACTTAAATTAATAAAAATACACTAGAAAAATTACAAAAGGTATTGGATTGAATACCAACTTTTTTTCAATTAAACGAGAAATAACTGATAATTTTCAAATGTTTGGTAAAGTTCAAATAAAGTTCCCTAAAAAAAGAGACGTTTGAGAGCTACGCTGCCACAAACCAAAGAAGGCAGATGGGAAGATTTTCACTACTAAAATTTCAATGAGAAAAATAGTTGACCTTAAAATTAATTAACAAGGTATATCTAAATACAAACCAACCCAATAAGGCTGTAAGTAGATCAGTGAAGTAACCGTCCCAATTTGCATACTAAACATACCTCCTATTGTATCGCGAAAATTTTCTCAGTCGCCCGCTACGGAATTCTTGAGGAAATATTCAGCAGTAGAAACAGTGCCCACCAAGGCTACCACAAAATAAGGCCACATATAAATGCTTGTAAACCCTCCATTGTATTATTTAAGAAGTAGACATAGGCAAAGGTAGTTGTATTTGTTCCAGTGAGTGTTAAGTGATAGTTGGCAGAATGTGTAGTTACCTGTGTTTGGTTATTGTAGCGTGTGTCGGAGTGGCGTCGTCGGCGCCAAAACTTAGGGAATATACTTACCCCGCGGGGGTTGCATATTATGTAAGTTTGTTTTATTCGTAATAAAAATTTCTAATTAATATAACAGAGTATTATGAGGATGAATATTGCGTTAAAATCAACGCATAAATTTTTATCTATCTGGACTTTTCACAAGTTTGAAAGCAACAAGTGTTTAATCATTTCTCTAGGCATAATTAAAAAAAAAACTACATGTAATATCTGTGTAAACTTTTTGCACAACATTCTATTTTTGGTTATTCTCATCATAGGAGCAGTACTTTTTTAACTGAAAATAAAAAACGTGTATTACAATAAAATAATAGGTTTTTTTAAATAGATGTATTTAAAAAGAAAGGTTAGTTGTTATTGAAAAGTTCTAGACAGATATTTTAAGATCGGCAAAATTATGTCCACCTAAAAAATGTATCACCTAAAAAAAACAACGGGCAGCGAGTTGGAGTATGGATCTATCTTTATACAAGTTTGTACAAAATCTTCAAAAGGAAAAATTAATTAGAAGAAAATGTGTTAGGATTCAAATAATTTAAATATTAAATATAGTAATGATCTAATTTAAACATTTTTATATTGACATGCAACACAAAATCTTCTCCAGGCTGCTCCAAAGTACGCATTCAATTATGGTGTAGCAGATCCATCGACGGGTGATATCAAATCACAGCACGAGTCTAGAGATGGTGATGTTGTTAAAGGTAAGATACCTATTTACGTGTTATATCTCCGATACAATTTATTATTTGATTTCAAATCAAAAAGTTATATTTTAATACAATTTAATAAGCAAAAGCATTGAACATAAGTTCGATAGAAAGTGCTTAATTTGAGAACGGTTGAACAGATTCGGCTATTCTTTGGTTATTCTTAATAAATGTGAGTTACCATTTACCAAATAAAGTTTGTAATAAGGAAAATTAGAAAACTTTCCAAGAAAAAAAGAGAATTCAGAGAAATCTTTTACTTTTCAAAAAAAATAACTATATTATATATATTATTATTTATCTAGTTATACGTGGGACAACATCTGATAGGATAGTTAGTTATATATAGCAGAACATAAACGTTTTTATATATAGATCTTAAGTATCACAATTGAGATAACAGATAACTTCCCTAATAAAAAAACCCGGAAGACAAAAGACAGACCTTTGAATTGTGTAACTTAATTACGCAATTCAAACCATATCATCAATATGGATGGCATTCTTAGTTAATATTCATTAACATTAACCCTGTAATTGTCTATTGTAAATCCCTTTCGGTAGTGTTTGTATGGACATCAATCATGTTCATACAACACAATGCATCAGATATATCTCTGCGGTGCATTGTTCTTGAATTATACGCCATCACGACACGTTATTCAAATCCATGTGAATTGAAAAGAAAAACTAGAATTTCCCAAGCGATTTCCAAATTCGTATCTTTGTGAGTTGAGTTGGTTGACTTCAATAGTTATCAGACAATAATGATTAATATAATTATGTGGGTTAATTGTGCATGTGTAAGCTTATAATGGAAGTGTAATAGAAAGCTATGATTAAGAGACTATAAGTAATGTGAGAGTATAAGCTCATAATGAACTTAAATAGACGTTTATGATTAGAAAGAACAATTAAATACTTTTGCTTCATTAATAAAAGAAATCATTGACAGACAGTTTGATAATCTTAGTATTAGGTCTTTACCTATGAAATTGCCGTTTTGTATGCAATAAGTGAAAGTACTTATTTTTTCAAACTTTTTTATTTCTGTTATTCGAAGTAATCACCCATGCAATCGACGCATCTTTGCCAACGCATTGGCAGTTTATTGATGCCCTTCTTGTAAAAATCAGCTGGACGGGAGGCAACAAACTCTTCAAAGGCATTTTGTACTATACAAACATCATCTGTACTAATTACTAGGGGTAGTTGGAGCCCTAAAAAGTCTAACAACGGTTTATCAACAGAACGTCGATATCGCCTGGGTTGTGAAGGTCTTAGGGCAGTCGCGCAAGGTTAAAAATCAAAAAAGAGTTTAACCGTGTCGTAGTAGAAGCCGACCCCAACGTAGTTGGGAAAATGTTCAGAGGATGATGATACTTAATTAAGAATAACATTAAAGGAAAGATGATAAAATATACATACAAACCATGCCTATATCCCATCTATTAAGATGTCGGTAGTTTATCCAAAGTGGATTAAAATGAACAAGATGCTTGGTTCAGAACTTATAAAGGCAACAGGCCTTTAACGTAAGGCTCTAAATGCTTTTATATTGCAATAATTTTCTTTTTTTAACTAATTCAATATCCGACGTATAGCATTATCTGCGATCGGGCCGCCATCCTATCGCCTAGCACAACACACACTGATTAGAAAGAAAGGCGTGGGGAAGCCTGCTTTCCCCGGGATAGGGCTTGGCTAGGTGCGGCGTCGATGCGGGAGGGGGGGGGGGAGGGGCTGAAATAACATATTCCGGGTCCTCCCCAGAGCAGGGCTCCTGAGACCAGCTGTCGGGGTGGTTTTTAGTGGCAACACCACATACTCTGGCTCCTGCGTCGTCGAGGAGCTGGAGAGCCGAAGGGATTTTTCACCCTGTCAACAAAAAAAAGGGACAATGTGCAAATTAATGCACATACGCACATCGTGGAATATTCTGGATGGATCTCAGGATTGTGTTAATAAATTCTAGGTTTGGTTGTTTTGGTAGCTTTCATATGGCGCATTCCTTTGTTGCCATAATTATTTATTATACCTATAATTTTATGCTCTAGCTGTACATTTTACAATAGAAATATTAAAAATAAAACATTTAGACATACATAGACTAAGAGCCGAATATCCATAAACATCGTTTTTAATTAAAATCGTCCTTAATATATTACTATGCGCATGACTAGGCAACTAGATGGATTTAGATAGTATTTCAGGATGAGCCCGAGAAAGGTTTTTAGCAGGAAAAATTATGAGAGTGGCTAGATTAACGGAAGAATTTGAGGATAATTAAAAGTGCATTATTTTATAAAATTAAATCGAATTGATTTCTCTATATTATTTAACATCTTTCGGCTTGGATTTTCAACTTTAATGATACTTTTTATTTCGAATAGAGCAAAGAGTAAAATTGGATGGGGTGGAAAGTTAGGCGCTGCGACTGTACCAATTAATTTTACAAAGTTACATATAAAACTAAGTACACTAAAACTGACTAAAACATTTTGTACAATAAATAAAATTATGATACTTAAACTAATAAACAATGATTTCGTTTTAAATTTCAGGACAATATTCGCTAGTAGAACCAGATGGCTCCGTCCGCACCGTAGATTATACAGCGGACGCTATTCATGGGTTCAATGCGGTTGTATCTAAGAGTAACCCATCCTTCCATGGACCATCCATCAGACCCGTGGCGCCTACGGTTCCTGTGCAAGTCAAACCAAGGGTTCAGTACGTGCCTAAGCCCGTGCCAGTACCGGTAGACTTTAACTCCTTCTACCCGCAGCAGGGTGTTTATAGGGAAGCAGCAGCGCCTTGTGAGTATTTACATAATTATAAAATATATTACAAACTATAAATGCACCAGTAGATGACGCACGCAGCGAGAAACTCCCATTCATCAGTAAAAAAGTCCTGTGTCATCATTGTTATATTGGAAATGTGCTCATTATTTCTGTGCTGTAGTCATAGTCAAATAAAATGCAATCGTTTTGGATTATAAGGGTGTCTGCGAACTTAAAATATTTCTTTATTTATTTTACATTTTTATGCATTTATGTACAATGGAGGACTTAATGCCCTGGGCATTCTCTACTAGCCAATCTTTGGGTGTAGAAATCTTGTAAGGTACGGGCATCAAGGTTATAGGTGTGATGGATATAAAAATAAATAAATAAACATTGATCTAAATATTACCTGAGTCGTACTATAACTAAGAAAAGACCTCTTTTATGTCACAGAATCTTCCCAAGAAACACACTGTTGTTAGGTTTTTCATAATAAAAAACACAGGTAAAACAACAAGTACCGGATACATAGAAAAAGAGCACAATACCATTAAATTTTATACGCCATTCTATTGTATACCATACAAACTCGTCTACAAATTGACCAGTTTTTTTGTAAAGGGTTATTTTAACTATTAGAAGTAATAAAAGTAGTCATAAAAGGACACAAGAAAAGTCTACTAGGCATTATGTTTACGTTTATTATGTGTATACTCGTAGTATTATACCTATGCACTTATACTCAATCTCAATTTGTTTTTCGTGCAATGCCCTTGTTTTGTTACATCTATGATCTTTTGTCAGTACGCTTTCAAAATAAAAATGCTACAATGATATTTTATAGAAATGAGAAATATCTGATTTCTATAAAATACCAGAAGTCATTTACTTATTCTTAAAACGTACCTAAGTTAAACTTAAGTTGTCACTTAGTCTCCTCCAAAGGTGTTGTGGTACTGTACTACTGTATTGTAATTTAAATCACTAAATGGCTAAAATCCACTAAATTCCAGATAGGAACATGAAGTATCCATAAATGTTCATAACTCGTTTAAGTAATTGGCTACTTCTTTTCAAATATAAATGATTGACATATATTTAGCAATACCAGAAAACCCAATATATATATTAATCTCGAAGATGCTGTCGATGTACCATCCTGTGCTTTCCAGACAGGAACTTCAAGTATTCATAAATATTCGTACCTCGTTTAAGTTATTACTTTGCATATAAAATATTAAATTAATAAATATTTTCATATGAAATATTTTTTATAAGGGACAATTTATTTATTTTGTTTCAGTGTACCCAAATACTGGAGCTGTCCCGTACCCTGAATATGACGGATATGAATTCGAAGCAGGATTCCCAGTATCACCATTTATGTATAATTAAATATAATGAAAATAATACATTTAATGCATCACCAGCTTAGTATAATCATATTCTTATGATTACGTAAATTACAATCAAATGCAAACACACAGCCGTAATGCAAGCAGTGATCTCTTTGTAGCAACTCTGATAATTGATTGAGTAAATTCTGTTGAAATAATTTGTGTTAATAGGTGCCAATTACGCGTGTGAAAATAAGAAGATACTTGTAATGAATAGTTAATAAATAGCCGGATACATCTAGTATGGATATCATTTTATATTTAGTTTTATCACAAAGGTCAAATTTATAATACCTACAAAAGTTGCAGTTCTTTTATAAATATCTAATTTTTAACCGTGGACTCAAAAATGTCGGGGTGTTATAAGTTTGACGTGTCTGTGTGACTTTGTTTGTCTGTCTATGGCATCGTAGCTTCCGAAAGGATGAACCGATTTTGATATTGATTTTTTTGTTTGAAAGAGGAATTAGTCGGAAGTGTTCTTAGCTTTCGTTTGATAAAAATCGGTCCAAGATGGCCGCCGCCACAAAATGGCGGATCATATATTTTTACACAACTCCCTCAATATGGGTATCAAATGAAAGAGCTTGATTAGTAAAATACTATGCACTATGTTAATTTCAAATCGAAGATGTGTGTCGGGGTTTTCTTTTTTTAACTTTAACTTACTTAAATTATGTCGTCTTAATATCTATGCTTCAATTTTTATTTATCTTTATACATTTAGAGGCTTTTATTACAAAATAATATTTTAGCTCCATGGTGTGCATCAATATGTATGTGTCATACATTTTTAGAATATACCACTTAAAATTTTGGTTGCATAAAGATGCTTTAAAAATATAAAACACTGTACAATACATTTTTTCGTATTATAACCGTGTCAGTATTCTGTTTAGTTCCAAAAATATAAATATTGTGATAAATTTAGTTAAGTAAGTACCACGTTACATTAATAAGTAACGAAATTTGTGGTAGATGTATTAACGCAAAGAATTATGGTATGGTACAGGCTTAGATTATATTATATAACGTAGTTGAAAATAAGTTTTAGTCTATTTTAATCTCAAGACTGTACATATGTTTCACAATGCAGAAGATTTTTCATGTATATCTTTATTAATTATATTTGTATAAAATAAATACTTAAAATTGTAAAATAAAGAACGCTTTATTTCTACTAAAAATATACATTTTATTTCAGTAACAACCGGAATGAGTAGGAAAATCCCATTTTATAATATTTCAAACATTTACAAGATAGTCAAAGTGTGAAATTGAATAGCGTAGCAAATAGTAAAGTAAAGTAAACTTTTGTTTTAATTTATTTTAACTGCGCTTATTTCTTAAAAAAAGTCATCTTGAATACTTCCCTCCACTTAAGCATGATTTATTTATTACTTATCTATATTAAATCATCCAAACCATACACAATGTCCTATTTATTAGTCATTTGATATATTTTTTGAGATATATGTGATTTTAAATGCCTAGTTTTTAATTCATAAAACATACGTGTTTACTCACGTGTGATATATGCCCGACTAATTGAAGACCCGATGGGAGCCTCTTTGATAAGGGAACACATACACATTAATTTCTTAGTCGAAAATAACGTCTACATCTTCATAAGCACTATAATAAAACTAAATTAGCTGCTGATGTTAATAAAATATGTAATGATAATTCGTAATATGCCAGTGCTATTCCTATTTCCAACTAATTAATTACTAAAATTTATAAGTCGTAGCACGCAGTCATAAATTATTCGATTTTAGATTCGAATTATTTTACATTCATTTTACGACTGTTCAACGCCTTTACGTTTAGTCGGAGTTCAACATTATGTTCCTGATCATTCTAACTTTTATAAAAGGCGCTTTTCATTAAATAAAATGTAGGAATAACCAGCGCCTCATCTTAATTTAATATTAATACACGCAGATCTCATCATATAAACGAGATCATTCATATAAACGAGAAAAAATTCCTTCCTCCAAGCTCAAGGAAGTTATGGTACCAAGTGAGAGCACTCTTACTCTGATGGCCGCCACGAGGTCACGCCGCTGCTTCACCCACGCCAGCGTGCCAGCGTGTGGAACATGGTGTCCACGGCCTAGCCTTTGCGGATCATACACAGGTGATCCCCGAAGCACCCTTTCCCGGTGATCAGCTGCGTCAGCCGGTATGAGAGGATCCCGTGATGCCTCTCGAGTCTCAGGACTCCGACCGAACTCCCGCGTTTCCTTGCGCTACTGATACAGAGACGGCTCTCGCCTCCAGGTCCCATGGTGGAGTTTCGGCCAGAAGACTCGCCACCTCAAAGGAGATCGTGCGGTACGCCCTTATGACTCTGATAGCCAGCACTCGCTGCGGTCGTCGCAGTAGAGCGACGTTGCTGGTCTTCAGGGCCACCCATACTGGGACTTCATGAATTGCCATGGACCGCACAACCCTCGAGTAGAGTCTCCTACAGGAGTCAACGGGTCTCCTCATGTTTCAAAATCCACGCGCTGCTCCAATCAATTTGAGGCCCAAACCTCAGAAATGATGTCCGAAGTCGATGCGAGTGCCTCCTACTATGAGGCTTCTTCCGAGGCCCATGAAAGAACAAGGCCTCGAATTTGTGCAGAGCCATCTCGAGACTCAGCCGCTAGATCCGCTCCACGATTTGGGCAACCCCGGCCTTGGGCCCTCAGGGTTGCTTCACGGTACGTCTTGCTGCACGCCTTCACAAGTGTGTCGTCTTGAACACCCTGATGGTTTTGATGGCAAACAGGTCACTGAAATTCACTTGTAATACTGTTGTGATTCTTGATTTGAAAGCCTAAAAATTCCGTGATTGCTATCCACCAGGTCGAGTTAAAGTAATTTATCTATCGGGAATAACAAAAGTGTAGAATAGGTAATGAGCAAATGTACATACGAGAAAATTACTCGTATCTAATCACGTCAAAAGAAGGTAACAAAACTTCAATAAAACTTTTCATACTAAATAAATCTCTAAAATTGGCAGTCGGGTAAAAATAATATAGGCTGAGTGAGGCATTGAATTTTTTCATGAGATAATTTCATGAGATAGTATAGTATAGTATATAAGTTAATTAGATTTTAGAGCACGAATAAGTAAGACTGCATAAAAGTTTTATATTTTTAATTACTTCATAATGCACATAAAAAATGACAGTAAAAATTTTACTTAAAGTTTGTCTGGATGAAATCTTCATTACGTTCAATATTATTAGTAAAAATTATCTCTATACTGCATCATGCATAAAAAAGACTAATGAATATTAATTATGTACGGAATAAATACTACTAAAATAATCATGTTTCACCCAAGTTGACGTCTAACAAACTGAGAAAATAATATCTCATAAAATAGGAAGAGGCAACGGCAATTGGATCGAGTGCAATGCTAAGAATTTATCGTTCAAGTACAAGTCGTGACTGTCAGTGTATAAACCGGAACACGATTTAGTACTCATCTCCAGTTTATTGCTTTACACTGCAGTTCAAAAAATTTATACCTACTTTTTAAAAATATGATACCTAAGCTAAGCCTAAGCCTTTTTAAAATAGTTTTAAAACCTACTCAAATCAGAATTGTATTTTAAATCTAAGTGTGTTTTAATACAGGGTTGGCAAATTAACGTTTAGGAACGTATAAACAACTTTTAAATATTACTATTTCGTCACGATATATCCTTTAATAAAGGACTTTTATAAAAGTTAGAGGTGAGCAACCTGAGATTGATCTCGAAATTTGACATTAAATATTAATATTTTATTATAACAGTAGCCGAAATAGTCTCAGCTTCATCAGGGTCTTATGGTGGAGTGGTAAGAGCGAGTATGCCAACGGGATGCAGAGCACGATACAATTGTAGCAGTAAGAGACAGGGAGCATATCAGCCTCTCCTACCGACTGACACAGGTGCTGATTGGCCTAGCTATTTATTAAAGTACCGGTGTCGAATAGAAAAGGAGCGTCTGCGTGCCATCAGTACTGATACTGTCACGAGGATACTGCACTACACACTCTGGTGGAGCGACAGTAATGCCTCACGACGGCTATTGGCATGGGAAGCCACTCTCCAGTCCCGGGAAAGTGGCACCAGGCATCGGAGAGCTCGGAAGATTTATAGAAGCACATCGGGTTTTAGCGGGTTTGATTTCGACATACCCGGTAAGGACTGAGGTAGTGACTCGTGGGCGTTTCCATATGTATGTTTAGACATGTATGGATATGTTTGTAAGAATTAAAAAAATGAATTTGATTTATAATCATCTGCCTACCCTTTTCCCAATTTTATTTGGGGTCGGCGCAGTATGTATGATTTTTCCATTCTACTCTGTCATGCGTCATCTTACTGTTTACTCCCTTCCTAGCCATATCCTCCCTCACGCAGTCCATCCATCTTTTCTTCGGTCTGCCTCTTCTCTTGTACCCTTCAACTCCCTTACCTAAAACTTTCTTCGCCACATTTTCCTCATCCCTCCGCATGACATGTCCATACCAAGATAACCTATTACTTCTTAACTTTTCATCCAGTTTCGCTACTTTCAAACTCCCTCGTATATACTCATTCCTAACCTTGTCCATCTGAGTCACACCACACATCCATCTCAGCATTCGCATTTCGGCTACGTTCAGGCGTCTCTCATCCGTTCTCTTAATGGGCCAACTTTCAGAACCATACAGGACGGCAGGTCTGATAATAGTTTTATAAATTTGTCCCTTCAGTGTTAAGGGGAAACTGGGGTCACGAGTTGTTCCCGTTACCTGCCGCCACTTCATCCATCCCGTATTGATCCGATGCTGTACAGTTCGATCAATCTCACCATCACATTGTAAGAGGGAGCCGAGGTACTTGAAATTGGAGCAGACTGTTATCGCTATCCCATCCAGCGAAATGGTTTCAGGACTGGAGAGACCGCCGAAATCGCAGAACATGTACTCAGTTTTGGTTTTGCTGATTTTCAAGCCAACATTCT